CTAAGAATTGTTTTGAAAATGTTTCAGCGAATAGAGCAAATTTTAAGTTTTCCGATAGGGTCAGAAAAATCTTAATCTCAATTTAATGAAAACTTTTCACAAATGAGACGATAATTGATCAGTTATTGAGCTATATTACAAATTATTAGGCTACAAAAATGTCTATTATGAAAACGGGATTTTGTGGTAGGATGGTGAAAATTGAGAGCTGTATGTATAGAGTTTTTTAGAAAGAAAATCTATCAAAAACTAAAATAAGTCAAAATCATTTCTTGGCTGAAAGCGGTATAAAAATTATTCGATTATTACAAAATAGGGGTTTATAGGTAGTAGGAAGGTAAAAATTTAGGACGGTATATGTATTTTAATAACAAATTATAAAAAATATAGTGAAAAAAATGGCCAAAGAAGAAACTTAATGATGGCCAACACTTACTACTAAATGGTATGACAAATAAATGTTGGACGATTCTCAGTCATACTTAACGTGATTAGAAAGTTTCAAAAAAATTGTTCGAGCCGTTTCGAAGAAGTATTGCTGTGATCATGACAAAAAAAATTAATGCCGAATTGTCCAAGTAAAAAACAATAAATAATCAATTATTTATTCAGTAACTTTTGACACTGTATGTGCATTATTATTTAGCATGTTTAACAAAATCGCACTAAGAAAGAGCACAAAATATAATTTTTGAAGAACATTGTTTAAAAAAAAATCAATAAAATAAAATATTGAAAAAAAGTTGAATAAAAAAATTTTGTAGTATCCACAGAACTACCGAATTGAGAATGATTCAATAGATTAAAAAAAATTATACCTTAGAGTAATAATTACTATAAGGTAGAGGGGGGCTTGAAAATCTGCAGCTAAAAAGGTCCACCACTGTTATCTCAAAAACTAGTAAAGTTAAAATTTTTTTTAACAACTATATTTGAAAGTAGAGGGTAAAAATATGTGTAACCAGGCACCTTGATTCTTACGACATTGCATAAAAATCCATAATACAAATATTTTTTTGGTTGTCATTTGTGTTGATTGTAAGCACTGTTGCTTAGATTTCCAGACCATCATATAATTTTTAAGTACACGTTATTTAATTTTACTATAAGATATATTGCTAATTTCAAGTTAGACTTAATAGTTTTTTATATAACCTCTATAAAAGCTTACATCTGGGTCAGGTGAAAAGGACCAACTGAACCTTCACCCTGACAAAGGTGTAAAAAATTAAAAATAGTAAATGAAACATTAAATCAAGGCAAATTAGGCAATTTTATATGCAAAATTATATAAATAGTTATTCCAACTCTGCTGATGAATATTTCTGATGAAATATCACATTAAGGTTATTTAAAGTACAAGTGTGTAAGTATATTTAAAGTATCTCTGTAAAAAAGTACCGATAAAATTTATATTTTGCTTTGATTGATTAATGTAGCAATTACTTTGTGAAATATCTTTAAAATTAAAATAAAACATTCAATCTTTGAAAAACAGCAAAGAAAGTATTTCTATAATGATGAATTAGTTGAAATTTTTATTGAACATTGTCAGATAGCTGTGAGTTATTTGTTATAATATAATTGCTTTAGTTTTCACAATATAACTGCTCAAAATCAAATTGGACCTTTGTGCCCCGCCCTACCATATTAAAAATAATATAATAGATAATTATAATCAAAAGTTATGAATTATGCTTAAAGAAAATTGCTTCAAATTATAATAATGATTGTATAATAATAAATAATGATATAAAAAGATTAGTAGACTGAAACATAAAAATCAATACTCGTACATAAAAATCGAATTTACCAATAGTGTTCAAAGGTGCTATAATATCTGTCTACTCGTAAACGTGCAAAGATTGAGATCCGTCGACAGTCGTCCAGAAACTAGGTATACGAGCTCATTCAACTTAATTTAGACTCTCGGCTAAACTGGCAGCAAACAAGAGAGGTTTTGACAGGCCGAGGAAAGTGATGAGAAATTAATGTGCTGGAGTTAATACGCACAGTCACAATGTTTCTGCTTATATTATATTATATGAGCTTTATAGCATCCGGCGCGCTGACAATGTTTGTTCAGCGAGTTATTAGCAGCTAGGTGAAAGTTTAATAGAGCAACGAGGAAGGGTTGCCCAACGATAATACTTTCAATACTCAACAACTTAAGTACTTCCGAGCACAGGCCGAAATTTATATGGGACGGAAATAGAAAATTATATTTGGGACAAAAGAGAAAAATATCTGAATGCTGGAAAAGACGCCCGAGAACAATTATAACTTTATTTGTTATGCTTCCGAGTAAAAACAGAAACACTGCAATTACAATTATGTCAAATTTTCAATCAAAAATGACAATATCTACTTTGTTTTTATCTAGTAAAACATCACAAAAGTTCATAGAGCATTGATAACAGTTCAGATTGTTGTTAATATATATATATATATATATATATATATATATATATATATATTTGCGAACAGTAAATCCAATAATAAAAAACAATTTGTTTTTTGAAGATGTTTAATAACGACGTTTCGGAACTAGATACGTTCCATCATACGTTTCCATCACCAGCATGTTTCTGGTACATAATCCATTCCTTTATAATTTTTCTAAATAATCTGTAATAACCATCATTAATTAATGTTAATCAATATTTTTAAAAAACATTGTCTTTGGCAGAATAAACCTGATGATGGAACTTATCTAATTCCAAAACGTCGTTATTATATATCTTCAAAAAACAAATTGTTTTTTTATTATTGGATTTACTGTTCGGAAAAGAAACAATCAATATATTGAAAAAATCCAGGACTTATCTATTGTATATATATATATATATATATATATATAATATATATATATATATATATATAATATATATATATATATATATAGGATAGAGTAGGTTCAATTTAATTTTATGCAATTATATTGCTAAAACCAAACCGCTTATATCGCAACAAATTACACATATCAAACAAGCACCTATCTTACTATGTTCAGTAAAACTCCCAACTGACTCATCATCGTAGAAATGAGTTTTTTTTACTGTTTTTCAAAAATTTGTCACCTGGTTCTTTTACCCCATGGGCGGGGTAAATTGGGACGGCCAAGAAGAAAACATGTCCAATGTCTTAATTTAAATTTACAGAGATTGTACAAAATAACAGCTACATTATTCAATAAATGCAAAATATAAATTTCATGAGCGCATTTTTTACAGAGATAACACTGTAAATAACCGTGATCTGGCATTTTATCAGAAATATTCATAAGCAGAATTAAAATAAGTATTTATCTAATTTATCTCTTGTAAAATTGCTTTTTTAAACTAGACGTTTTTGTTTATGTACTATTTTTTTCTGTTTACACCTTTGCCAAGTTTCAGTTGGTCTTTGTGGCCCCACCCAGGTGCTAGCTATATAGAGGTTATAAAAAAATTGAATCTAACTTAAAATTAACAGTTAAAAATTATATTAAGGTCTCGCTGACTATATTGTGCCAATTGTGCTCACTGCCAAAAAAAAAAAACAAAAAAAATCCCATTTCCTTATTTTTTTAAATATTGTTAAAAATTTCTTTACTTCACTAGTTTTTGAGGTATTGATGGTGGACCTTTATACTTGCAACCTCTATGCCTTCTCTACCAAATATTTTATAACTTAAATATCATGAAGCTTCTATTAATTATGCCACCAAATATTATTGAAAATTAGAATGAGATGAGAAAAATATTAGATCGATTTAAATTGACGAGAAAGATTTTAGTTTACCTTTTAATATTACCAAACAATTTTAATTGGAGACAAATGTTACCTTGATCATAATATTAAAAAGTAATCATTTTATTTTTGTTCAAAAAAACATGTAGTAAAAATCGTGCAAAAAACGATGAACAAATATAAAAAATGACGATTTATTTACTTGGAACAATAAATAGTGCAATTAAAAAAATCCACTCTATTTCAAATTTCATTACTGGATATGTTAAATGAATATTACATGCTAATAATTATAAAAAAGTGTATTTAAATTGATTTTCATCGCAAACTATATTACGTTTATTTGATATTTCCATAAATCGTGAAATTCATGTAACGTGCATTTAAAAAATTAAAGTCATATGACAGTTCATACACGATAGTGTTATATTGTTAAAAAAAAATGAACAATATCGATTAATGAACGTGAAAACAAGGAGTAAAATTAGCTTTGTACATTGCAGCATTTTCAATCTAATTTTCATCTCGCAGCTTTCATACATAAAAGCGTTTAAACACAGATTTTCAACTGAAAAAAATAAATTCTCGCATATTCGCGGTCAATTTAACTTTAATGGCATCCGCGCTCGAGAAAAATGAAGAAAACTGTTCGCGAACAAGGAAAAAACGTATTAAGTATTCATATGCAAAAAGCGAATGTTTATTGTTTGTTTTTGGGAGATTTGCGTTTAATTCCGAAATCGCAGACAGGATGTCTGGCCCGGCGGATCGCAAACGGAACGCCCATGTGTTCAGGAACAAGAATAAATTAGGTTAGAGCGGCTAGGGTTAGGTCAGGTCAATGTCTAACAACTAACAACCAGATGTCTTCAAATTGAAGTTTTCACGACACCACAGATAGGCGGATGAATTAGACATCTGGAAAATGTCGTAAGTGGATAACTTATATTGTTATATATTAATGATTAATTTAAAATACCAGTTCACGCTGAATAGTATTCATGATGCTGCAACATTTATCTATATATTTACACAATTTATGTATAATCAAAAGTTTACGAATAATTTAGAACAAACTGAATTTCTCACTAAAATCATAAATTAATACCTCCTGCCTGCTAGTAAAATTAAAGATTTCCGCGAGCTAATGAATAAAAATCAACTGTTAAAGTGTCAAATTTTTGTCAACTTAATTATAATGATTATACTAAGATATAATGATTGTACTTTACTAAAAATATGATTTAATGTGCAGATGAAATACTCACTCGTCAGACGACCGTTTCTTCTTAATTATTGGAGTGGACCCTATAAAGAAGAAAATAATTCATTATACATAAACTTCAAGGAATTTGGTATTTTAATTTGACACAAATAATTGATGTTGATTAGAATGAATCTTATGTTTTTAATTTAAATCAAATAAAAACTAGTGGGGAGCATGGCATCGTGCCTTAAGGCAAATTGCTGGAACTTCCTGTACTAAAAATTATTTTTTTTAAAAAAGATTAACATTTTTGAAAAATGTATTGGATGTGTGTGCGGATACAAATTTTTGTCGACGATTTCGGGAACAGTGATCACCCGATTTAAATAATTCAAAAAACATTCGATTCATATTGATAAGGAGGCGTGCTGATTAGTGTTTGGCAAAGGCAGGTCTAGCCGTTCCGAAGATATGGGGCCAAAATTGCCAAAAACGGTAACTCAGTTTTTAAGAACATATTTTACTTGTATTAGCAAGATAAAGAACTGATCAAATTTTCATGAAGGCAGGTCTAGCGGTTTCGGAGATCTAGTAAAAAAAGTAAAAAATAATGCCATCTAGCGGTCAAAAATGATTATTAGACATATGCACATGAAATAAGTATTTCATTATCAGACAATTTATAGACATTTTAACAATAAGTATAAATTTTGTTTACATTCCTATAGGTTCCGTACCAATGCTTATTCGTTAGACGGCGGCGTGGCGCTTACGCGCTCTGACATTTCGTCTCTATACAGTTAAAGCAGTACGATTGCTTTGAAAAAAAGTTCAGAATTTCCAAAATATTTCATAATACACTCTTCTTCAAATTATTATTATTATTATTATTATAATATATTATTTTTGTCAAAAATTTATAGTTTCTCAAATCCCTAATTTTTCAAAAAAAAATTTCAAAACTGATAATCTTTTAAAAATTTTTTTTTGGTACGGGAAGTTCCAGAAATTTGCCTTAAGGCACAATGCCATGCGCCCCACTAATTCTATAAGTTTTGTACCAGCATTTATAATGTTTAACCGTTAGACTGCGATGCAGCGTGGTGCTTTTTAATATTTAAAAAAAATCGATTTTTTGAAAGACTTCATATTTTTTGAATTTCTAAATATTTTTAAAAATTTTGAATTTTTTTGAAAAAGTTTAATTTTTTTTGAACATTTTGATTTTTTTTTAATTTTCGAATATTGAAATAAACAATCAATTGATGTTATCAATTAAATTTCAATGTTAAATCAATTAGTATCAATGTTATAAATTAAACTTCTATCTTACTTTCTTATACACACGCGTTTTGCATATTACATTTCAAAGCCATAAAAATAACAAATCTAGTTGCACGAAAATATGACGAAATCGTAGAATGCTTATAGCACGGAAACAAAATTTTACAAAATTAATTTGTTAAAAATGTAATGTTTTCAAAATTCCCAACTCGGCAAAATTATGCAGTACATTCATAAAAACATTGAACTTTATTTTGTATCAGAAAAGGAACCCAAACCACACGAATACTTGAATTGTTATATTCTTATAACTATAATAAGTATATTAGCTATAGTTCTTTTAGCAGGGATATATTTTTATAAGAGATGTAGAAACATCGGAAAAGGATCTACAGCAAAGGAATTGCCGGATCCCATAAAGAAGTACACGGACGCAGGTAAGTTTTATTTAACAACTACATGAAATTAAAAAAATCTAAGCTTCTGTCAAAATATCTATTTTATAAAGTTCACTTTTATTATTTAGTTGTTCATTTTCAAATGATATATAGAAACTTTGAATTATTTATATGATATTAACCCCTTAACCCAGTTTTTTTTGAAAAAACCCGGCGAGCGCTCGAATAAACTCGAGCGTGCAAGTTAAGGGGTTAATCAACCTCTAATTCTCGTGGTATAACAATAATCTTGATCAAAATTCGGTGAAAAACGTCCACAAAAATGACGATTATTAATCTACTACCGAGCTAAATAAAAAGTGATTGGATGAAAATTATTCGATTACTAAAATGACTAATACAAAATAGTGGTGAAAATTTCGGGCTGCATGTGTTAATCAATTACAAATTATAAAAAAATAAAATAAAATAGATTGGCCCTACCAATAAAAAAAATTTAAGGGCGCCCAATTTTTGCCACTTAGGGGTTTAAAGGATATTTGTTGACCGATTTTGTCATATTGAACGATATTTTATTAAAATAAAATTTTATACAAATCGGTCAAACTGTTTTGAAGGAGTTTTGCAACGAACATCATAAAATAACAATTTTATATACAGGGTAGCTTGGAGCTATATGTAACGGGGGTAACTAGTAACAAGCGCTTTTCATTAGCTAATTGAAAAATAATCGTACGTATGCGTCATTTTGACAGGTGGCATATAAAGTTGATCTATTATAAAATTTTGGTTTGAGTTATTATCGACAATTTATATATATATATATATATATATATATATATATATATATTATTTTGTTCCAAATTTCTCAATCCTTGATAATGTGTAATAATTTTTATGATTGCTAAATTGTTTAAATAGTTATTTTGATTAATGTAAAAAAATCACACCAGGAGTTGAAACAAAACCTTGGAGCCAGTTCAGAAAATTGGGTGGAATTTATAGTTTGTAAAATGTGGGAAAATGTAAATTGTATTACAGGAAACACTAAATGTTTTATTTATATTATTTTAAATACTGTAGTTTTCGTTGATTTGTGATAAAAAATTGTGTTACAGGAGACATTTATATATTTTATTTGTATTAATTATTTGCGTTGATTTATGACAAGAATTACTTAGAAAAAAGCCACGTTTCTCAAAAATAAGTGAAGAATATATTATCAAAATATTACTGCCGTTACTACTTGCATCCACGGGTTAAGTTGTAACACCGCATTTTTTCTAGAAAATGATTAATTGTTAAATAATGAACATCAGTTGTGGAATAATTTTTACTTGATTTGGTAGAGGAATAGTTTCAGCAACCAACCATCTTTTAATAGATTTTTTTTGTTCAACGTTGAGACATATCTTGAATATTGATTTTCAGCCAATCGTCGAAATAAAGATTTAAATATCGCTTAGGCCCATGTGATTTTAGGATACTAGGGATCAAGATAAGATACTTTGCTGAAGAAACAATACCTCTAAAATGAATTCTGATGTCCCGTGCATTCACTTAAAGATTGGGTCAAATTTTGAAAAATTCTGTATTGGCTCATTTAGAGCGCCTCAATAATATTTCAGTTTTTTTACCCATACAAATCGACCCCCCTAATATATATATATATATATATATATATATATATATATATATGTTTTGAGCTCCCAAGGGCTCAAATAATTCAAAATTGAAGTGCGCAATTCAATCAAACTTCGTATGGAAATAACATGGATTTTTTTATTGTTATCAATCCGATAGTTTGATTGAATTAATTATTTTTTAAATTTCCCGAAAAAAAAACTTTGTTTTAGCCAGAAAATCTGACTTAAGCAATTTACGTTTTCTTCATATTTTAATCATTATGAATTGAAAATAAGTTACATGCTAGGCAAATTTAAAAAAAAATCGAGTAGTTTGCAAATACGGTAGAATGGAGCACAAAGATCATGACTGAGCAATTATATTGTGGAAACCAAACCCATTACGATACGACAAATACCACATATCAAATGAACAACTGTCTGACTATGTTCAGTAAAACTCTCAGCTACTTCATCAATACAGAAATGTTTTTTTATACTGTTTCTCAAAAATTTGTAACCTTTTTATCCCGTAGTCGGTGTGTATTGAGAAAGCGAGGCGACAATGTCTTAATTTTAAAGGGATTTTACAAAATAATGGCTTTATTCAATCAATGCCAAATATAAACTTCATGGGTGTAGTTTTTAATACTGTAATGATACTGATAATACTGTACAAACCTTGATCTAGTATTTCATGCGACTTTCACCTACTACCTAAATGCCACCTACTTCTAGTCTATTTATATTCCTAGCATAAATATTACCGAGATAATAAATAATTTAATATACAAAGTTTAGAATATTTAAGTTATTATTAATATAAATGTATATTGTTGCCGCAATCCTTTCAACTTTAGAGATAGTAAAATCTATTTTAAAAATTATGAATATTTTCAAATTACGAAAATTTCCAGTAATTTGCTTTAAGACACGATGCTACGCATTTCTAGTTTGGCTAATAGTATTTTATGATGAGCTTTAAATCCGGAATATATCAATTAATAGTTCTTGATCAAATTTTATAGAAATAGACAAAATGTTGAACAAACTTAGAGCTCGAAGAAACCGTCGTATAAGAGCCCAAGCTGCTGCCATCCGCGAATCGGATAGCTCTAATGGCAACGAGGTGCGACTCCGAACTTCAAGAAACTCCTTGTAGAGATTGTAAATGGTAAAGAGATTGTAAATTTTAAATGTTAATCGCATAATAAATACAAATTTGAAACATCTCAATTTTCTAAAATTGTGTATAATAGAAACATTTTTAAGATACCGTAACGCATATTTTTGGAACTGATTATAATAAATATAAAACAAATGATTTTTTAGATTATTATTTAACTTCCCTTAGGGTAAGTTATAGTAATGAGCCAAAAATCTTCGATTCCTAATGATGAGGAGACGTGCTGATTAGTTTTTGACAAAGACAGGACCAGCGGCTTTAGCGTTATGAAGCCAAAACTGCTAGATATGTCAAGTTTCTGGAGAACGGGTTAACCGATTTGAATGATTCAAATAACATTCGATTTGTAATGATGTGGAGAAGTGGTGACTAAAGTTCAGCAAAAGCAAGTCCAGCGGTTTCAGAGATATAAGCAAAAAAATAGTTTTTGAGAGAACTATGCAACCGATTTGAATGCTTTAAGAAATTTTCTTTTGTGTTGACGAAACGATTGCTTTTGGGGAAAGATTTTTTTTTTATTTTTTTTTTATTTATATATCACTTATATACATCACTTATATACATCACTTATATACATCACTTATATACTTCAAATAAATAATTTTAAC